CAAACAATCATGTGACAAGGTAGGCTGCCTGGCTGATCTATCACATCCAAGACGGGCTGTTCCCTTCCCTAAAGAGACTAATGTGTTTGGAAAGAGGACCGAGACGTTCCTGTCCGCCTGCCAAGAAGAAGGTGAGCCTGCCACGGCGTTCTGGCCGGGCCCAGGTGCAGAAAGGAGAGTCCCGGGGGCCCCAGGGCTTGGAGCCACCTGGGAAATAAATCTTCCAAGTTTCTTAGGCAGAGCCGTCAGGAAGAGAATGCTGACTGGCTCCCCTCACAGCCTGGGGCTCCGTGCTGATTTAAAGCCAATGCCAAGTCCTTCCCATCCATCAGGGCTGCCCCGAGGAGTAAGGTAAGTCTCCTGACTCACTCATTCCGAGTTCTGAGATCAGGACAAGGTCACTTTCAAGTTCACCCGGAATGTTTTAGAAATGGAAAGAACCAAAACATCACAGGGCAGAGACCACCCCTCCCCCATTTCCAAGGAAAACACTAATAAATGTGGAGCACTGAGTGGAACTACAAAATGTCTTAAAAGATGATACGGGGGATTTTACTAGCACAATTCGTCCAAGCAGCAGCTTAGTTTTTATAATAGCAGCTTTTTCTATACCTATAAATAATCTATCCCCTTCTACTGGTCTATCTGTCTGTATTAAGCTGGACATTTTTTTTAACTTTTCTATTCTTTTTTTTAAGTTTTTTTTTTTTTTAATTGATTTTTCGGGAGAGAGGAAGGGAGAGGAAGAAACATCAACTGGCTGCCTTCTGCAAGCCCCTTACGGGGGATCAAACCCACAAGTATATGCCCCCGGACTGGGAATCAAACTGGCCACCTTTTGGTGCACGGGACCATGCCCAGCCAACTGAGCTACACAGCAAGCTAGACAATTTCTGTGGATAAAAACTCCACAGCATGTTTCACGTTGTATTTCCCCTTTTATATCCATGGGCAGTTACATCACCATGGTTATCAAGCACTAAGAAACTGCTCCCCGCAGTGCGTCTGGCTTGCCCTTGATAACCAATGACTACCTCATTGCTAAATCCAAGGGCGACTTCTCCCTCATCACGCTCTAATTTTCCTGTTACAGTGAATGCCAGTAACTACTTTTCTGCTTCTTAGAACTTTTTCTTTCCTGAGCACCCATGACTCAACACTCTCTCAGTTCTCCCACTTCACCCGAGATTCAAGTCAGCTTCCTTTACCAAATCTACTTCCTCCTCCTGCTGTCAAAATGATCCCAAGGTTCTCTCTCTTCTCTCCCATGACAGTCTCTTCCTACCTGATCTAATGTATTCCCATGGCTTCCCTGGCCTCTCACAAGCTCTAGGTGTGCATCTCAGGAGAATACAGGACAGCTCCACAGGATGGACCGATGGACCAAATGGACCAAACACATCAGTATACTTTCCCCAAAGTCTCCATCATCCTGTCATTCTCACACACACACACACACACACACACACACACACACACACACACACACATTGGGACCAGACATTGTGTTAAATGCTTCACATACATCAACTATTTTCTTTTTCTTTTTCTTTTTTTTTTACATTTTTTTTATTAAATTATTATCTGTGTACATATTTTAACACTGCCCTCCCTCCCATACATACCCTCCCTTCCCAGAGTTCTGCGTCCATTGGTTGTACTTATATGCATGTACACAAGTCCTTCAGTTGATCTATTATCTCCCCCAGATCTCCCTCCCCTCCCCACTGTAATCTGACAGTCTGCTTGTTGCTTTACTGTCTCTATATCTATCTTTTGGTTCATCAGTTTATAATGTTCTTTATTATCCATAAATGAGTGAGGGCATGTGGTGTTTCTCTTTCATTGACTGGCTTATTTCACTCAGTATGATGTTCTTGAATCCATCCAGGTTGCTGCAAATAATGAGAATTCCTTCTTTTTTATGGCAGCATAGTATTCCATTTTGTAGATGTACCATGGTTTTTGGATCCAATCATCTGCTGACGGGCATCTAGGCTGTTTCCAAATCCTAGCTATTGTAGATTGGGCTGCTATGAACATAGGAGTGCATATATCCTTTCTGATTGGTGTTTCTAGTTTCTTGGGATATATTCCTAGGAGTGGGATTACTGGGTAAATGGGAGTTCCATTTTCAGTTTTTTGAGGAAACTCCACAGTTCTCCACAGTGGACATCAACTACTTTCATCCTCACAGGGTCCAGTGAAGAGACTAGTTATCCCCATTCTAAAGATGAGGAAACCCAAACAGAGAGATCACGTAGCTACAAAGTGGTAGGGTCAGGATTCAAACCAGGCAGTCTGGTTTCAAAGACCACGCTTTAAACATCTACTCTATATTACTTCCTAATTGCCCAGGCCTCACACTTGTCTGTTTTTTCGCACAGCAAGGCACTATGAGCTCAGTTCTGTGACCTCCAGGTCCCTCCTATCTGGCCTTCTTTTCCATTCTCACTGATGTCCTTTAGTCCTTAACACCACTTACCTGCTCTTAACTACCCATCTCCCACCTCTCCCTATTTCATCTGTTTACCTGTCACTCTTCTTCTCAAAAATCAGTGGCTCACAGCTCCCCACTGCCTACAGGATAAAATCAAAATGACGCACAGCCTTATCTACTACCACACTTCTTCACAGCTGTCATGTTTCACTTAGAAAGGATATATGCTCTAGCCCAGTGGTCGGCAAACTCACTAGTCAACAGAGTGGCTTGAGTTGACTACAGTGGTGGCTCAAGAGCTGAGGTTTGCCGAACACCACCCCAGCCGGTGGGGCTTAGTGTATAGAGCATCAGCCTGCGGACTGAAGGGTCCCAGGTTCGATTCCAGTCAAGGGCTCATGCCTGGGTGCAGGCTCGATCCCCAGTGGGGGGTGTGCAGGAGGCAGCCGATCCATGATTCTCTCTCATCATTGATGTTTCTCTCTCCCCCTCTCCTTTCCGGTCAATATATATATATATATATATATATATATATATATATATTTTTTTTTTTTTTTATTTTTTTTTTAAGGAGAAATTATATGTATCATTCTTCCTGACTGCCCAACATCTAGTACCCTTCGTACGTCTGGGGAATCCCATACCTCCCAAAGTAAAAATAAAAATGTAAATGTACCCTTTCCAAGCCTCCTTTGCAGCTAGCTTATGGTACAGGACTAGGCCACACCAATTAGATGCATCATCCAAATGTGGACTGGAGAGTGGGCACCATAGAGAACTCCCCTGGGTAACAAGAAGGCGGCAGGAAGACCTGAGTCGCTGGGCAGCACCGTGTGCAGGGCCAGAGGTGTTCCTGGTGTAAGTGCAATATCTGCCCTCTGGTGGCAGCAGCCTCTGCTTGTGGTTCCTCACTGGAGCAACCAGAATAGTTCCTGCCACCACACCTGGTTCTCAGGCCATCGTGGCAATTCTGTGAACTACCCAACATCCTTTTTACACATTTATTTTTGCCTTAAATCATCTAGTCCTGGTGTTTCCAAGTAAGCATCCTTCACGCATCTCAGAACATGCCCTTTGCCTTCCTGCCCTGCATAAGCTCGCCCACTGTGTTTCTTCCATCCAGAATTCTTCTCTGTTAGTCCAAAGTCCTCCGCTCTTTTTAAGACCCAGCACTAGTACTGTTTTCCCTATAGATATAATAGCTAATACTTTTTTTAATATATATTTTTTATTTTTTATAGAGAGGAAAGGAGAGAGATAGAGAGTTGGAAACATTGATGAGAGAGAAACATCAATCCTGCACACTCCCTACTGGGGATGTGCCCGCAACCAAGGTACATGCCCTTGACTGGAATCGAACCCAGGACCTTTCAGTCCACAGGCCGACGCTCTATCCACTGAGCCAAACCGGTTTCGGCTAATGGCTAATACTTTAATGAGCACTAAGAACCCAGGCATTCTTCTCATTTGATCTTCACAAGTACAGTGGGAGGTAAATACTTGCATTAGCACCATTTTACAGTTGAGGAAAATGCAACAAAAACTAATGAAGAAAATTGTCCTTTATTGATATCAGAGAGAGGGAGAAAGGGATAGAAACATCAGTGATGAGAGAGAATCATTGATCAGCCATCTCCTGCACAACCCCTCCTAGGGATGGGGCCCACAATTCGGCATATGCCCTGACCAGGAATCAAACTGTGACCTCCTTGTTCATGGATCAACACTCAACCCCTGAGCTACACTGGCTGGGCTGCAGGTATAATTTTTAAAGGGCAGTAGACATCACAAAACCTTGAAGCGTAGGAAAAATAACTCAGAACAAAACAGGCAATGTCCTTTTTCATCTGCTTTGGAAAGTACAGTTTAAAAGTCACCATCTTGGCCGAAGCCGGTTTGGCTCAGTGGTAGAGCGTTGGTCTGCGGACTGAAAGGTCCCAGGTTCAATTCCAGGCAAGGGCATGTACACTGGTTGCAGGCACATCCCCATTAGGGGGTGTGCAAGAGGCAGCCGGTCAATGTTTCTTTCTCATCGATGTTTCTAGCTCTCTATCTCTCTCCCTTCCTCTCTGTAAAAAATCAATAAAATATATATTTTTTTAAAAATAGAAAATAAAAATAAATAAATAAAATAAAAGTCACCATCCTGGACTTTAAAACAAGAATAGTATTTTCTTACATAAAACAGCCTTGAAAACATTCTGGATCCTATATGGTGCCCATATAGAATCACTTGGCCAGGTCTTATGGTTTTATCAATATGCAGGTGGACAACAAATTATGATCTCACTCGTACTGAATAAATAGTCTTTGGACATGAGGATGCATCATTGGTCTATAATTACAATTCAGAGAGGAAGAGCCGCACCCTGCCTGCACATCTCCAGGGATATGACATGGCCCCAAGTCACTTAAGTTTTGGGCTTTTTTTAGATTCAAGCCGTTCTGCCTCTGATCCAAAAAGTCTAGTCCAATACCTCATGTCTACAGTGACTTCACACAAACACTCCCAAGTTCGAGCTATTAAATGTGAAGAAGATGGCCCAGAGCCACACCTTACCTCTTCCGGCACAATAATTAATGGATACTTGTCCTCAGATAAAAAGTTGAAAATAACCCACACTTTAAAGGAATCTTCTTCCTCGATGAGCAGGGGATTCTTTGTGAGGTTTTTTTTGACGCAGAGGGTCCAACACATCCTATTTAATTCAAGCTTATCAAAGTTGTCTTGGACCTAAAAAGGAATAAGGAAAAATTCTAATGAACCAATCCAAAATAAGAAATACAATATAAGCCCAATAAAACAGAAAAACAAAGCCTACTATAGGCTTCCATTTTCATCAACCCAAGTAACCAATACATTTTCAGTGTATATGCTTAGGTACTACATTTTGAAAGGCTCTAATAAGAATGTTATATTAAGCCCAGCTGGCATGGCTCAGTGTTGAGTGTCGACCTATGAACCAGGAGGTCAAGGTTCGATTCCTGGTCAGGGTACATGCCCGGGATATGGGCTTGATCCCCAGTGGGGGACGTGCGCGAGGCAGCCAATCAATGATTCTCTGTCATCATTAATGTTTCTCTTTCTCTCTCTCCCTCTCTCAAATCAACAAATATTTATTTTAAAAAAACAGACTCTAAATCAAAGTTTACATGCTGTCTGTTAATACTATGCCGAATTGCTTGTAGAACTCAGTAGATGGACATCTATATGATAAAAGACATCGCTATAGGATTCGTTTCAAAGGCCACCACCATCAACTCTACCCACCCGCATCCCTAAAAAAACATTACAGGAAAGATATCCCACGTGGAAACTGACAGGCGCACAAAAGCACACAGCCTTGCTCTGAGGAACCAGAGATTCCGTGTGGATTCTGTGGTGAATTGCAGGGATCCTGGCGGCGAGTGACTACATTTATGGCTGTTAGAGCAAACACAGAACAAATCACAAGGAGCTCCATCATTTTTATTTTTATTTTGAATAGCCTATAGGAAGGATTTTGGAGCAGAAAATGAGCAGGTCATCTGCAGCCCAGATTACTACTCTGCCGAAAAGGCGGTGTTTAAGGCGACCCTTGGAGCATCCCGAAGAGTTCAAGGTAAAGTATTCCAAAGGATGGAAAGGAAATGGCCTCAGCAAAAGCACACCCTCCCTGTTTGGGAAACAGCCACAGGATGAAGGAAGGACACAGAAACAAGGGCAAAGGAAAGACAAAGTTTTCCACTTGGAAAGTTCTGGTAAGAAATTAGAATTGAATGATTAGATGGAGGTGTCCAAGGACCATCAAAGAAGTGAAAGTAACCTAAAAGGAGAGGCAGATCTGTGCATCAACTGCCCGCCAACGATGACTGAAACCACGACGGCCAACAACACCCCTCAGAGAGACCACAAAGGGAGAAGGGAGAAGGGATTGGAAACAGGACGACAGAGGATACGCACATCAGTAAAGCCAGAGGAGGGAGAGGAATCAGGATAACTGGAAAAGCACTCAGAGTGGCAGGAGAACCACAAAGATATGAGAAATGGGCGCGGAAACAGTTGCGAAGGTTTGATAAGGAGTGTGAAATGCTCCAGAGAGACTAAGGAGGGGCTGTTTAAAAGACCACAGATTCTGCAAGCACTTCGATGCTCTCTAGTTATCTTCAAGACAGCTAGAAAGTGCGGGTAAAAGATTGCAGTGGGATCAGAAACCAAGAAAATTCTCCATAAATTAGTTTCGTTGGAAATAAGTTGTGTGTTTGGCTCCTTCCTCCTCTAAAACCTAGTTCACTATTCCTTAGTTTAATGATACTCAGGTAAAAAGAGTATTAAATGATAGCATTTACATCTTTTTTAAAAGTACAAGAATCAGATCATATATGAAAAGCCCACAGCTAACATCATACTCATCAGTGAAAAACTGAGAGCTTTCCTCTAAGATCAGGAACAAGGCAAAGATGCCCACTCTCACCACTTCCTTTCAACCCAGTACTGGTCAGAACAATGAGGCAAGAAAAAAAAAATAAAACTCATCCAAATTGGAAAGGAAAAGGTAAAATTATCTCTGTTTGCAGATGATATTCTCTTTATTTTTTTTAAATATTTTTTTATTGATTTCGGAGAGGGAGAGAAACATCAATGATGAGAGAGACTCATTGATCTGCTGCCTCCTGCACGCCCCACACTGGGGATTGAGCCCATAATGTGGACATGTGCCCTGACTGAAATTGAACCATGACCTCTTGGTTCATAGGTCAAAACTCAACCACTAAGCCATACCAGCTGGGCTGCCTTTTTTATATATGTGTAGTAAACTCTAAAGAGTCTACAAAAAACTGTTAGAACAAATAAACAAATAGAGCAAAATTACAGGATATAAAATCAACATTCAAATATCAGTTATATTTCTATACACTAATAATAAACAATCTGAAAAAAGAAATTAAAGAAAACAATCCCATTTACAATAGCATCAAAAAGAATAAAGTACTTAGGAATAAACTTTCCCAAAGAGGCAAAAGACTTGTACACTGAAAAACTAGAAAACATTACTGAAAGAAATTAAAGATGACAAATAAATGGAAAGACATCCCATATTCATGGATTAGGAGATAATATTGCTAAAATGTCCATACTCCCAAAGCAATTGAGATCGAATGCAATCCCTATCAAAATCCCAATGGCATTTTTTGCAGAAACAAAAAAAAACAACATTGTCTTAAAATTCATATGGAATCTCAAAAGACCATGAATATCCAAACAATCTTGGGAAGAAGAAGCTAGAGGACTTGCATTTCCTAATTTCAAAACATATTACACAGCCACGGAAATCAAAACAGTTTGCTATTGGCATAAAACAGACAGGCTGACAAAACAGAAAAGAGAGCCCAGAAATCGGCCTTCCTGTGTGCGGCCAGGGACCTTTAACAAGGGAGCCAAAGCTACACCTTGAGGGAAGGAGGGTCTCTCTTCAGCAAAGGGTGTTGGAAGAAAACATCCACATGCAAAGGAATGAAGATGGACCCTTACCCTAGATCATATGCAAAAAATAATTCAAAAACGGAGCCAAGACCTGAAACTCCTAGAAGAAAGCCTAGGGAGAAAGCTTCCTGACATCGGAACGGACAGTGGTTTCCTGGATAGGACAGGAGAGACACAGGCAACAAAAGCACGGACGGGCAAATGAAGCTACACAGGTGAGCCAGTCCTGGCCATCAGAGAACTTACACTCCAGGTGGGAAACAATACAGCAATTGCACAACCACCTACGTGGTTAAAAACCGTGGTACTGCTCTGGAGGAAAAGCAGAGGATGTTGAGAACACACGAAGGCAGAGCTAGCTCTGGGAAGGGTGGGGTGCCACCCACAGAAACCTCCCCGGGGAAGTGACAATCAAGCGAAGACCTAGAGGGATGAACAGGAATCGGCTGCATGTTGTGGGCACAGGAAGCCTGACAGCAGAGGAGGTGGCATGTCTGAAGGGTCTGTGGCAGGAGGGGTCTTCGTAATCTGAGGACAGAGAGGAGGTGGACACAGCGGCAGTGCAGGGAGCAGGAGGGAGTGGAGAACGTGGTGGCTGGGAAGGCTGGCAGAGCCCAGCAGAGCACAGCCCTGCTGCCACGATCAGGATGCTGGGCTCTGAGATCATCTCTACGTTCCTTCTCACTATACAGGGTCCAGGAATCTATGGCTCCATACACCATCTCATCTAAGATTACAAACTGCTCCCAAATCCCAGTTTGTATCACACACATTAAACTGACAGTCTCACATCTTTTGGAAAACTAATAACGGTTGTCACTGGTCTCAGGGTGTCCAAATGGAAGGTAATTTCCTAGAAAAGAATGTGTAGAGTTGTTTTCTTTAACACTAAGTCTATGTAACGGCTTGTCTCATAGAGGACAGGCACCGGAATAGGTCAGACTGCATTGCTATAGTAAGCTCAAATTGGGTCTGAGTACTTCTTATTTTTAACATATGTTTGCTTTTCCCATACATATGAGTGCATATGAACCCATACATATGAATAAGATAGCAGTTATGGACCTCAATTCTGACTCAAAGTACTAAAAGTACTTACAAAACGAAACTCATGTTTCTAAATTAAAATTTTCATACCAACTAGCAACACTTCTTTTTTTAAATATATTTTTATTAATTTCAGAGAGGAAGGAAAAAGGGTAGGGGGAGAGCTAGAAACTTCAATGATGAGAGAGAATCACTGATTGGCTGCCTCCTGCACCCTCCCCCTTGGGGTCAAGCCCACAACCTGGGCATGTGCCCTTGACTGGAATCAAACATGGGACTCTTTAGTCTACAGGTTGATGCTCCAGCCATTAAGCCAAAAGAGCTAGTGCTAGTAACACTTCTTGAAAACATTTAGCATATTGCCTGATACACAGTGGACTAAATAAATGTTAGCATATTTATCTTTATACTAATGTTTTCAAAAATATTTTGATGACATGGAAAAGGAAATATTAATGTTAAGTGTTCAACTTGATCCCAGCTTGAAAAAAAATCATACAAATGTATTTTTTTAAAATAAAGACTCAAAGTAAACAGATCAAAATTTTTAAAGTGACTGCCTTAAGATGGTAAGGGTAATACTTTCTGAATACGTTCCTTTGTTAAAAAGTTTACAACCACGAGCCTGTATTTACAATACAGGAAACCATTTCACAATTAAGAAAACCACTTTAGCCGAAACCGGTTTGGCTCAGTGGATAGAGCATCGGTCTGCGGACTGAAAGGTCCCAGATTCGATTCTGGTCAAGGACATGTACCTTGATTGTAGGCACATGCCTGGTAGGGATTGTGCAGAAGGCAGCTGGTTGATGTCTCTCTCTCATATATGTTTCTAGCTCTCTATCCCTCTCCCTTCCTCTCTGTGAAAAATCAATAAAATATATATATTTTTTTAAAAGAAAACCATTTTAGCCGAGACCGGTTTGGCTCAGTGGATAAAGCGTTGGCCTGCGGACTGAAGGGTCCCGGGTTCGATTCCGGTCAAGGGCATGTACCTTGGTTGCGGGCACATCCCCGGTAGGGGGTGTGCAAGAGGCAGCTGATCAATGATTCTCTCTCATCGATGTTTCTAGCTCTCTATCCCTCTCTCTTCCTCTCTGTGAAATATCATTAAAATATATTTTAAAAATAAAAAAATTAAAAAAATAAAAAAAGAAAAGAAAACCATTTTAAAAACAGTATTTCACATTAATCGTCACGAAGATACAAATCAAAACACAGTAAGATACCACACCTCACACCCACAAGGATGGCTAAAACCAAAAAGACAGAAAATAACAAGTGTTGGTAACGATACGAAACAGCTGGAACCCTCACATATTGCTGGAAGGAAAGTAAACCTCACAGCGGCTTTGGAAAACAGAGTGGCAATCCCTCAAAAGGTTAAACATGTAGTTGCCATATGACTCAGCAATTCCCTTCCTAAGTATGTACCCGAGGGAACTGAAAACACACATCCACACAAAAATATGAACATGAGTGCTCAACGCAACAAATCCGTAAGAACCAAAAAGTGGAAATAACTTCAATGCCCATCACCTGTTGAGTGTACAAACAAAATGTGGTATGTCCACAATGGAATATTATTCACACTGTTATATGCTACAGTGTGACCACATCCTCTATGATTCCATTCACAGGGTATGAGTCCAGGATTAGCAAATCCATAGACAGGAAGTAGATTAGTGGTTACCTAGGGCTCTGGGGAAGGAGAGAGTGAATGCTAATAGGTTTTTTTTTGTTTTTTTTGGGGGGGGGGGTTTGTTTTGTTTTGTTTTTTTGAGGGAGAACAAGTAGTCCAAAATTGATTGTGGTGACGGTTGCACAAAAATGTGACTATATTAAAAACCACTGATTGTACACTGTAAAAACTTATATTGTATGTTATGTGAACCATATAGCAATAAAGCCATTATTTTAAAAAACAAAACAGCTATTTCTTTAAACCACATCACTCTTAGATTTATATTGCTGGCCAAAGTGTCCAACGGCATAAGCTCATCCACAGTACTCAACAGAGGACCTCTTTATTCACCCAGAAGTTCTGAGGGCACTTAGAATGTTGAAGGCAAATTCATTCAACTAATAGATCTCTGAAAGCTCATTTTATGGAAGAGCTGCCACTGACGTGAACTCGAGCATCTGATAAGAGAGTAAAAATGTCAGCCTAGGAAAACAGAATGCAGAGGCTACTGGCCTCAAGAGAAGGGATGCTATATTGAACTAAAATATTTCTCTTTGTGTGTTTATCCTTTACTATATGTTTAAAAAAAAAAAAAAAAAAAAAAAAGACAGCTGAATCCGGTTTGGCTCAGTGGATAGAGCTTCGGCCTGCGGACTGAAGGGTCCCAGGTTCAATTCCAATCAAGGGCATGTGCCTTGGTTGTGGGCATGTGCCTTGGTTGTGGGCACATCCCCAGTAGGGGGTGTGCAGGAGGCAGCTGATCAATGTTTCTCTCTCATCGAAGTTTCTAGCTCTCTATCCCTCTCCATTCCTCTCTGTAAAAAATCAATAAAATATATATATATATTTAAAAAAAAAAAAAGACAAAAACAACAAAATGCAACAAGAAAACAGTATGTTAGAACAGTTAGAACTCAGCGTATTGCCAGGGAGTATTGGTTTTAATCATGGAGTCCAGACCAACCTGTAGAATCAGGGAAAAGAACTGACAATTATTTGAATCAAAGAAACTAATAGGTAATTAAAACTCACAAAACAATTAGATTGCCTCATAAACATGCTGAAGCAGAACTGGTTTTTGATGTAGTCTATTGGGGCTCAATAGTAAAAAGCTAACACTGTACCTCTTCCTTCATTTATTCCGTCAGATAATCCAGGTGTGGTGACTCTTTGCCAAAAAAAAAAAAAACAACAAAAAAAAAAAAAACAGGGGGCGGGAGGGGCAGTGAGGAAGAGCTCACAAAAAAATTCTTCTAAGGCCGACCAGTGTGGCTCAGTGGTTGAGTGTCAACCTATGAACCAGGAGGTCATAATTCAATTCCCAGTCAGGGCACATGCCTGATTTGCTGGCTAAGTCCCCAGTAGGGGACATGCAGGAGACACCCAATCAATGATTCTCTCTCCTCATTGATGTTTCTATTTCTCTCTCCCTCTCTCTTCTCTGAAATCAATTCTTCCTAGGCCCTGGCCAGGTAGCTCAGTTGGTTAGAGTATCATCCTGATAGGCCAAGGTTTTAGATTCAGTCCCAGATCAGGGGACATAAAGAACCCACCAATAAATGCATAAATAAGTGGAATAAAGAATCCTTGTTTTTCTTCCTTTCTCTAAAATCAATGTTTTTTTAAAAACTTAAAAAAGCATTGTTCCTAGATGCTTTCAGAATTCCACTCTTTACTAAAGAAGGAATTTAACAAACAAGCAAAAAAAAACAGTTAACATTTAGAGGAGGCAAAATATTTGATACAAGAACGTCAGGTATATTAATCATTGGAAGTCCTAATAAATTCTATCAACATGAAGAACAACAGGAATGATTAACTCTGAAGACGCAAATATAGAAATCAAATGGAAAAATTATTTTTTAAAAAGCAAGTTTCAAATAATTTCTCTCTCAGTCCCAACCTCTTGAGAATAATTCTCCTAAGCAAAGGCATAAAACCACTAAAACAACCTGGGGGAAATGACCAGAATGAACACTAAGGAACACCAGAAACTAATGAAGAGGAAAGAATCCTCTTAAAACACTTGAGAGAAACCCTGAGAACTAAATGGAGGCTGAGATCAGTTGAGATGATCAGATGGCTTTTAAGCAGCTCTACCCTTGCCCTAGGTTCCCAACCTGGGAAACAGTAATTCTAGAAGGGAATCATTTTAATCCCTCAATAATACCATGAAAAGAACACTGGTCTAGCCCTCACCAGTTTGGCTCAGAGGATAGAGCATCACCTGTGGACTGCAAGGTCTTGGGTTCGATTCTGGCCAAGGGCTCAATCCCCAGTAGGGGATGTGCAGGAAGCAGCCGATCAATGATTCTCTCATCCTTGATGTTTCTATCTCTCCCTCTCCATTCCTCTCTGAAATCAATAAAATCATATATTTAAGAAAGAACACTGGTCTAGAAGTTAAATGGCTTAGGTTCACAAACTATCTACCTCTTATTCACTAGGTAACCTTGTGCTGTTTTTCCTCCTGAGGTAAATGGGAATAAGAATTCCGGTTATTCATCACAGGATTAGCATGAGGATCAATGAGGCTGTATATATATGAAAGCACATGTTGCAAACATTTAATCATTATTATATTTTTTCCTTTGCATAGCTGATAACAATCTCTCAATTTTATGTTATCATGCTTCAGCCACTATTGGCATTTTTTTTCCCACTAAGATTCCAAACAAAGCACTAATCTTTGCTCAATTTAAGCCCACGCCATGGAATCCTTGGCTGCTTTACTTGGATTGAAGGACTGGCAAAATTCCACTCCAGGTGGCTAAGCCATAGTAAACAAGGGCTCACTGTTTCATCACATCCTCCCTCGCTCTGTGAATGAGGTTTTCTCCAAATTTAGTGGCTAATTTTGGACTTTTTAAATACTGCTATATTTTCTTCCCCAGCTACAAAACTTTAAAATACCCTAAAAACTAAAATAAAGAACATTTTAAAGTGTAAAATTCAAAATGCTTAAATAAAGTTATACCCAGGAAAACAAAATGCAATATTAGGACCCAGCACTTTAAGATATTAAACCATGCCCTGGCTGGTGTTGGCTAGAGCATCGGCCCTCATGTGGAAGGATCACAGGTAGGACTCCCAGTCAAGGACATGTACTTGGGCTGCAGGTTCGATCTTTGGCCTCGGCTGGAGGCAACCAATTGATGTCTCTCTCACATCAATGTTTCTCTCTGTGTGTCTCTTTCCCCCTCTTTCCCTCCCTCCCGGCCACTCTAAATCAGCAATGAAAAAAAATCCTCAGGTAAGTATTGCCAACAACAATAAAAAAGATATTAAACCATATCTCTCTATTATATTTATTGGCCCAGACCACACAAATTCTAGCCCTGAGAAACAAAGCAATTTCCAGATTCCTGAGGCTTTCCAAACATGTTCTCTATTTTAATAATAGACATTATTGTCTTTAATTTTTAATATTAAACACAAGCAGGTCATCAAATATTTGCTGAATATGAGACATATTTACATAGAATGCATCGATAGAGCACCAGTGAGCTACCTGATCAGCACAGCAGCCAAGCAAAGTTCCAGAAGACAGCCCAGCATCAGCTGCGGTTCTGAGAGCTCACACAGGAGTTTCTATAATATACAACTGGATGAAGTCGTCTTTATTGTGATGCTAGAGGCCCGGTGCACGGATGTGCGCACCAGTGGGCTCCCTCGGCCTGGCCTGGGAGGATCAGCCGAAACCGGCAGTCCTACATCCCCACGTGGGGAGAATATCAAATAAAATGAACCAAGTGGGGAAAATATCAATCCAAGTTTTAGAAGACAGTAGAGATGAGGGAGAAGTAGGAAGCTTCATTGGTCCCTCGTTCTTTCTTTCCTTACTTTACCTCTTGATGCTTCCTTCACCAAGAGAAGTCTTATGTGAACTCACCAACCAGGGGCTCTGGGGCCCTTTGAAATATGCAAATCAGACCACGCTATAGGCAAGACGAGGTTGGAATCTTACCTTTTCCAGAATGAACTTGTTTAAGTAGGGCATGTAGCCCTGATTGGAGACGGGCCCCTCGTCGTCATCCCTGAAGTGCTCTTCCAGGGCCACGGGGTCGTGGGGCACCTTCAGCACCGTGCACAGGTTATGGGAGAGGACCTGGGAGGGAGAGAGAGGGTTCAAGGTCTCCGCTAACCAGCCCGTGGCACTACCACCGCCCAAACACAACTGGCTGCTCCCCGCCCGGGGAGAGAAAGGTGGAGAATCAACTAGCAACTGGGGGCAAGAAGGTGAGGACTGCCAACTGGACTGCCAGCTCCTCACTGGTTACCCAGGAGTGTCTCTCATTCCTCCCCCGGTTGTGGTTCACTTCAAACGAGTCTCTTACATGCCCACACTGAGCTAGGCTCCATGCAAGATGCATGATTACAGTACCTGCAGTCTTTTATTAATTGTCCCACGTTAGAAAGAAAAAGGAGAGAAAGAGCAAGAGAAAGTGTTCAAAATTAAACTTCTCCCCAAGGAATACACGGTCAGTCAATGAGAGCTATAAGAAAGAGCCTCGGCCCTGGCCAGTTTGGCTCAGTGGGTAGAGCGTCCACCTGTGGACTGAAAGGTCCCACGTTCGATTCCGGTCAAAGGCACATGCCTGGGTTGTGGGCTTGATTCCCAGTAGGGGGCGTGCAGGAGGCAGCTGGTCAATGATTCTCGCTCATCATTGATGTTTCTATCTCTCTCCCTCTCCCTTCCTCTCTGAAATCAATAAAAATATATTTTAAAAAAGAAAAAAAGCAAGGAAGAAAGAACGTGGTACTGACTGGGCAGCTGCAGCCGGGGCTCTAGGCCAGGTGCCTGGCCCCTGCCAATCACAGCCTCTCGGGGCTGCCATTTCCTCATGTGTTCCACAGAAAGGGCCAAGTTAATACACACACAAAACAAACATTAATTGGTAATCTCTACATGTGCAGACATCTCTATTCTATGATGTTAGGTGTTTTCAGCATTAGTATTTAAAAGTGTAAATGTAAACAGAGAAAGACATCAAGGGCCCTGTTTATAAAAATGGAAAAAGTCAATAGCAAAAATACCTCAGGGCCCTAACCGGTTTGGCTCAGTGGATAGAGGGTCAGCCTGTGGACTGAGGAGACCCAGGTTCGATTCCAGTCAAGAGCATGTACCTTGGTTGCGGGCACATCCCCAGTGGGAGGTGTGCAGGAGGCAGCTAATCCATGTTTCTTTCATCAATGTTTCTAATTCTCTATCCCTCTTCCTTCCTTTTTTTAAAATACCTCAGGACTTACTAAAAGGGTCAAAGTAGAAAATAAGCATTCCATATATAAAGACCTTGGTGACAACCTAAGGAACCACTTTCACATTCAGTTGAATTAGCAGTTTGGACTCAATCTCAACACTAATCTTGATCACATTAAATGAAAATTTTAAAAGAAAACAAATTCCTTTAATGTCATCCGTGCATTCCTAACAAGTCAAATTACATAGCTAAGGCTGTGCTTCCTTTAACAGAGGTTATTACTAAGTGTTAAATCCCAAGGTTAAAATTTCCTGTTTTTCTCAGCCCTGCCCATTTAATCACTTAAGAAGCTACATTCATCTCAAAGACTTTCCATTCTATTAAGCAAGTCACGTTTTTCTGCATAAATGTATTTCGGTTAGGATTTTTTTTTTTAAGATTTAAAAAAACTGAATCTATAAAAAGAATATTTGCATATCTTCTTTCTACATTTGTTTTGCTTCTCAAAGCTTCATTTCTGTGCAGATCCTTCTCTACACGCTCTACTGGTTTTAAGGAAGTAAGTAAAGGAAAGGAAGTAAGTTCGAAAATGGTTATAAATGAAGTAATGAGGACATTTATCGGCCCCGACAAAGCAGGCTGTGTTTCTCAAGCAAACCCTCTATTTGTAACAGAGCACACGAACAGAGCACGGTGGAGCTTTTACTGAAGAATCTTACCCCACAGTCAGCAAAACCCTCAATAGGTATTTCCTTGCTCTACTTATCTGGTAAAACCTATAAAGTAATTATCTATCCCCAAAAAGATTTTGTGAAGATGAACTTTAAGAATGTAAAGTGATTAAAAATTGTAATGTACTACAGGAATATAAGTTGAAGATAAATGAAGAGTATATTTCTCAGATAAGGCTCAAAGGTCATTCAAATTTTAAAATCATTTGGGGCTTTATCCATGTAAAAATTTCCCAACCACTGGTTAAATTATGGTCCATCCATAAAACTTTAAGAACAATGAGGAAGCTCGCTACGTCGTGATATGAAAAGATGTCCAAGATAAATTAGGTGGGGGGGGAAAAAACATACCTATGACTATATTAGTATGTCATCTATATGTAAAAGAAAAAGGAAGAAAACATAAGGAACTCCAGGAGGATATATAAGAAACTAGTAACAGTGGGGGAACAGTAGGGGAAAGACTAGTTTGATGATAGACGAGGGATAAATGACCTTTCACTGTGCCTTCCTCTTTTCATTGTCAAAAAAAAAACAACAACAACCAGCTATTCAAAAATATACTACTTATTTGAAAGAGTAAATATATAAGAGCACACAGCTAAATCTATTGTCAAAGTCTATACTTTTTCTTCTTATGTTAACCTACTCCCTAGAAATGAGAAATGAAAGGAAGACATATTCCACAGTAATAACCATGATTAACAGATGAATGAGGTGTAAGGGCAATAAGTTAACTCGGGAAGGAGAAACTGTGTGTGCTACAGTGACTTCCTAGAGGAAGTGAAAAGTAATGTGGGCTTTAAAATAAGGAGAGATTTGGATAGGAAAGGGTTTGGGGGGAATCGGAAGGCTTTCCAGATAGAAGAATATGAGAAAGCAGATGACTGATGCAAAATCCTCAGGATACAAAAAGGGGACACCAATCCCTCCCACATCTACCCCACTCTCTGCCTTTGGGTTTCATAGATCCTCCAACTTAGAGTCTTGGCAAGGGGCCTTGAACACTATATTGTCATCCTTGTTACCTGACAGCTGGTGAGGACTGGCCAAAGAGATTAAATTCAAAGAGATTCCACTTGTTTTTCTTGACTAAAGTTACGGTACCTAGCAGAACTGAGACTAAAACTCCAGTCTTTTTAATCCCTAGTGCCACACTCTCTAGCAATAAGGAACATCACATTTTTCATAGGTAGGTAGTTCAATTCATTGACCCCACTGGAAAAGATTTAGCTTTGAACTTCAGACTTCAGCCTTGGACAGTAAGACAGTACTTTTGTTAAGTACAGGGATAGCTGGTCCTTATAGCAACAAGTACCCTATGTGGGGAGACCTGAGTGTTGGCCTGTCACGTAATCTGTTCCTGTTCAGTGGTCTGCCATTTTCCCTTCTTGAAATATTTTAATATTTTGCTACTTAATCACTTGGTCTCTGTATATCCACTGCAAAATGAGGAGTTGGATTCGTCTCTAAAATTTTTAAAGCTCAGTTCTTAACGGTCAACCCACACATGATTCATGAATTCAACAAAAAAACTATATAATTTAGATCAGAAATTCATCTTTCTTCATTGTTAGTAAGGCCTAGAATAGGGACGTCTTCTTCAAACAAAACAACAGACTGAAGAATAATAGGTAACTGAGAAGGTTTTGTTACTACGAGAGAGAAAAATGTGTGCTACCTTTAAAACTTTTTTAGTTTTTATCAGCATTTTTTTAACAAGTCTAGACAGTAAGTCAAGTTTTTCTTAAATAAAATGTATCAACAAACCAAAATCTTGAAGGTCAGAATAAAAACTAGTCACAAGACGCAAACACTCTAAGCTTCAACAGCTGTTGATCCTAATTTTCTAAAATATATTTTTATTGATCTCAGTGAAGAAACGAGAGGAGGAGAGGGAGAGATACATCAATGATGAGAGAGAATCATTGATCGGCTGCCTCCTGCATACCCCCCACTAGGATGGAGCCCAAAACCCGAACTTGTACCTTGACCAGGAATTGAACCAGGACCTCCTGGTTCATAAGACCATGCTCAATCACTGAGCCATGCCAGCCGGGCAATATATCCCACTTTAAATGCCTGTTTCTCCAAAGGCCATTCTTTTAGCGCCTGTGTGATTGCTAAGAACTTTGCACTCATTCCCCTGATTTGAAGAATAAACTACAGTTACTACAAAAGATCCATAACCATGCCAGACACTCATCTCTCCAGCTCCTTCCTAGCTGTCTGCTGCTCTGCAGGGCCTGGGCTGACAAGAGATGACTAACTAGCGGCATGAGCCCTGCTCGTGTGGTCTGTTCCTGTTCGGTGGTTTGCCATTTACCCTTTTTTTAAGCATTTTGCTCCAACTCTCATGAAAACGAAATCAAGAATGATGAACAGCTAACCGTGTTTTAACACACAGGAGTGCATAATGTTCATCCTCCTCCCTCCCAAAGATGCAGAGACGATAAAGGTTCTCTGAGTGCGCCCCCCCTAGTCACAGTTTCCCCTTACAGGATGTGCGTAATGGGCAAAGCTCAGCACTGGAAAAGTGGGGGGTGGGGCCTCTATTTCAACAAGCTTATCTGAACGGACACAATCGTAGGATTATAATTCATAATGGGCAACCTTTTTTTACAACATGAAAATTCCTTTCTGATTTACAAAATCTCAAGCGAATGGCCAATTATCAGAAAAAAACGCTTCCTAACAATGAGCCAGAATGACCAATTTCCTACCAGTGCCAGGCCCTGCCTGAAGGGCATTGTCTTAACAGAAGTCCCGCCCCTTATCACGTGGAGTCATTTTCCTTTCCTGATAATATCCTTCCTCCTGCTGGTCACTGCTGAAGTCCTGCTTGCTTGCTTTAAGTTCGGGTTGGGGCAAAAGTAGGTCTACAGCTGTGAGAACGTGAAACACGATGTTAGTGATTATTAATTACTGTTTGCATGGAAAATAATACAATCATTAATAAATACTAACACCGTGTTTCACTTGCAGCGGTAAACCTACTTTTGCCCCACCCTGTAATCTGTATTATACTCAGACTCAGAAATCTCACTCATGCTATTTGTTATGGGGAATGCCATCAATCACCATTTCAGACACGTGTACCAGATTCATCTCCAACTGCTGTGTATACAACACTACCTTCTTGTTTAAAATTCATCAAAAGCCCACAAAAGTAACAC